CACTTTTTATATTAATAAAATTAACCTGATTAATTTGATGTAACTTTTTTTTTTTTGGAAAAAACTTCTGATTGCGTGTTGACAATTTTGTGATGGTGACAGTCAACAATCTACTAATAATCTGCTGCTTTGTATCTAACCTACAACCAAATATTAAAATAAAATAATAAAACCTGCATAAATCATTTTTTTACTGACCGTTTGGTTTTGTAGAACCTTTCTTTTTCCCCTTTTGTTTATCATTCCTGAATCGGTTGTCGGGTACTCTTCATTCTCCGGTGGTGGCCACATCTAACAGATGACGCAAGAATCAAATAATTAACTATCAAGTGTTTAACATAAAGATAGTATATTAAAGGGAAATTTTGAAAAGAATCCAAAATATATAATAAAAAAAGATATATGTTGCAAACTGCCCAGAGTTACCTGAATATGAAGAAAATATAAACATAATCAAATTTCATGAATATAGACAATGGATGAAACTTGTTTGCAAATTGAAACAATATATCCCCAAGAACTAACTGCAATATTTTCTTTTAAGTGGTTCATATAAACATAAGAGACTTAATCTGATAAGCTATATATTGGTGCTTTGTTTTTACCTAATACATATAAAAGCGAATTAATAGAGAAAGGCACTACCCTTAGATATGCTACCAAAAAAAAGTATTAACATTGAGGAAAAGTGTTACATTAACCTTAGATATTGCTTTTGATGATCAAATAAGGGGGAATTGAAGTCATACCTCAACTACCCTTCTTGCTACTTCATGTTTAAGCATTGCTTCCTCTGGCTCTCGAATCAAACATTTCATCGAACACATGGCATGCAAAACGAAATAAAATTCTAATTCATAAGAAAATCTTTAAATAGAAAAAACAATACAATGAAAATCTTTCAAATTCTTCAGATCTTTAATATATATGGATTCATATGATGAACAGCCGCGAGCCGGTACTCTTATTTAGAAATACCAAAATATGAAATTAAAAAGAATCATTTGAACACCATACAATGAAGAAACACAGGCATATGAAATAATTGTGATTGAATTTAACAGCTTTAGATCAATGCAGGGGTTCCCGATGTGAATGCTTCCTTTTTCTGTGTGAAAAAATTAAAAACCGATAAGACATAATAGATAATTAACATTCAAGAAAATTATCAAAACGTACAACTATTCGCTTCCTATGATCTTCAAGCTTGAATAACTGTTACATGGGGATATCATTCATACCACCACGACCAACCACCACGGCCAACCACCAGTCACCACCACCATCATCTACCTTAAATACTGCTTCTGATTATTTGTCTAATTTGATCTATAATCAATAACCACCAGCATGCCTATAAGAACAGTTTAAACTTTAAAGTAACAAAACAAAATCAAGACTACAATTCTCAAATTATTTTTCTAAAATCTATAGTCTTTATGATGTTACCCTGATCTTGTTAGGCTATAAAATTTTCTAATATCTAGACTTTCTTGAATAATTTAATTATTTTTTCCTCATTTGCAATATAAACAACTACTCCATGCTCAATAAGATCTTACCGGCAACTATATTGGATGCTTAGGATCATAAAGGAAGACAGTAAACTCTCCATTCCACACAAGGTCACATCCCTCTTCATTAGCACCTGTCGTAAAAAGAAACAGGACACATATATATGGACACCTTGTATGTAATGTAAGGTTTGTATCACTGATACTAAAATATTTAACATCCACAATTCGTTAATGTCAAAACTCAAAAAGAATCCATCCAAAAAAATAAAAGAAATCGCAGCAACAATTTGAAAAAAAAAATTATTTGCTGAGAAAATGAGAAGATGACAGAGAAGAAGGTGAAATCGATAATACCTAATGATGCTGAGAAGATGAAATTGTTTCTTCAATCCTTTCGGATAGAGACTCCACCGCCACCGATGAAGTTAGGTATGAACTCCGACAGAAAGCAGTGGTTTTTAATATCTGGTGTCAATCACTGGTTCCGGTGGCCTGGTGGTAATAATCACCATAGAATACGAAATGAAATCAAATGGAAGTAGAAACAGATTGAACCCTAATCAGAATCAGAATCAGAAGAACAGTTAAATTAAAGGTTCGATTTGATTTGTACCTGAAATAGCTGATACCCAAAAGCCTTTGCGCCAACAGATGGTAGTTAACGAAGAAGGAACATAGACAGAAGTCCTCGACTGCGGATGGAAGCAGCAGAAGCATCGTCGACGGCGACGCAGGTAGAAGAAGGAGACTTACCCGAAACTCCTTCTCCGAGGAGACTGCGAGCTACACGACGCTCAATCGAGGAAGTGGGAAGCGAAAGACTTACATCGTCTGAAGAACACACTGAAATCCCCCGACCCCGACTCCGATCCCGACTCAGAGTCAATATCGGAAGCCGATCGATCGTCGTCTTCATCGCCCGTCGTGATTTCGTTCTGGACCGACAACAGCGACTAATAAATTAAAGTAATGGAATGGAAGACAAACAAAAGGATATGATATAAATTAATTAAAGAAGTAGAGGGACCAAATATGTAAATCAAGGGACCAAAGGTGGACAAAGTATGCCAATTTTACTGTTCTTTTCCTCCACAACTTTAATATATATATAATAATAATGTTAGGATATCCTGGATATTCATGTAACTATATATATATATATATATATATATATATATATATATATATATATATATATATATATTGTATTATTATTCATTTATTTTTATTGTTTTCATAACATTTATTCAATTATCGTAGTATTAATAAATTTTGCTTATATATAAAATAAGACAAAATTGAAAAAATGGTATCTGTGGTCGTCAAAATTATGTGGTTTTTGTCCAAAAAAGTTTGTTGGTGCATTATTGGTCCAATTTTGAATACCTTGTGTGATTTAGTCCCTATGGTTGGCATTTTTTGTGGTTTTGGTCCATTTCCAACTTAAAATGACGAATTTGCCCTTAGATAAATCTCTTTTAATTTCATTAAATTAATTTTTATTTATTTTAATTAAAAATCCAAAAATAATCATACCCACCTCACCCGTCCCTTCTAACCACCACCCCTTACGGCTTACTCTTAGAGAAATTTATCCCATATCTCTCTCTCTCTCTCTCTCTCTCTCTCTCTCTCCCTCTCCCGAACCACCACCATCATAGGACTACCACTGTCGCTGCTGAAGAAAATCATTTGCCAGACATTAGCACATGTCAGACACCACCACCTGTCATGGAAGAAAAGCATAGCGCGACCATCAGAAAAATAGGATCTACCATGGAAAGCTAAAAAACAGGATTTGCCACGGTAGAAACCCCACCACCATCATCACCTACCCAAATCTCCTTCATCGCCGTTGCCCGTCATCTTTCAGCGATGAGGATTTCTGATCGCCACCACCACCTTCTTCATCGTTTTTAGATTTTCTAGCATTGCCACCCTTTTGATTTTCTAAAACCCTAGCGCGGCCACGTTTCTCATATGGATGAGGGTTTTGGTTCAAGCTCTGGCTAGGGTTTTCCATAGGGATGGTGATGATATCATTAGAGATTGCTGAAACCCTAGCGACATTATTCTTCCGGTGGAGATTGTTGAAGCCGTATGGTGGCGTAGACAGAGGTAAAGACGACGATGGAGAACGGCTAGGGTTTATGTTTATCTGATTTAGATATATGACGACGGTGGTCCGATGACGTTTGGGAAAGATGTCGATAACTCCGACGTGCAGGGCGGCAGACATACATACATTTTTAGATGGGGGTTGGGTTTTGATTCATTAACCTTGAAGAAGAGAGGTTGAGATAGGTGTTGTAGAGGAGAGAGAGGACGGTGGGATGGGGTTAAATTTTAAAATGTCTTTAAAATATTTAAGTATTGTAAGAATTAAAAAAATGGAAAAAAATTAATTATAAGGGTATAAAAGTAATTTCAAGTGTATAGGGACCAAATCACTAAAAAGATTCAAAATTAGACCACTAATGCACCATCAAACATTTTTGGACTAAAACCACATAATTTTGACAACCATATGAACCATTTTTGCAATTTTGATATAAAATAATATATATATTTAGGAACTTATTTTTATTTTTCTTACTGGGATCTCAAAATCCACAGGACGCCGTTGGACACACATAATTTTGACGCCATTGGACACACCCTCCCTTCAATTCTTCCACCCACCACAATGAATATTATTTAAAAAACTAAATGTTCAAGAAATGTCATGCCTTTTCACAATCCCTATACAACTTCATCCTGAATACCCAAAAGAGAGCTCATTTGCAACATCCTGCCATTGTCGGGTAAAGAAGGATTTGTGTAAATATTCAATTTCAAGAAACTCAAAATCATAAGCATTCGATTCTTCACAATCCATCCCAACATAGAAAACACCAAATAATTATTCATTCAATGAATCAAACCCCAAGTAGTCGCATGTCCCATCATAATCCTCGACAATGTTCTAAAAGGTCCGCCATGGCGGCGCCAAGGTGCACTGTGAAGTGGCTCGGCCGCCACGAAAATACCCTTGACGTCATTTTTAGGTGTGATGCACGCTATGGCTTGTCTAGGTGTACAATGACACAAGTTTTTTCAAGGAAATTTTGTTTTTTTTTTCTAATTTTTTTTTTTCAATTGGGATGGAGCATTTTTTTCAATTGGGATGGAGTCGTTCAATTTTTTTTCTGTTATAATGTATTGATTTTTAAGGATTCTTATCCAAACACTTACACTTAGCTTATTGTAGTGGAAATAAGCAATAAACAATAAACACCCTCTTTTTTCCCTATCCAAACACCCGCTTAATATTTGATTACTTGTTTACATGCTTTGCATATTAGTCTCTTAGGGACACATTACATCTTCAACATTTTTTATATTTGTAATGCTATATTTTCTACATTAAAATATCAACAAATGAGTTCATGGACTCGCAAATATCGCAAGTTTTGATGGAAGAACATTTTGAGGTATATATGACTATATATGGTTTTGGACAAATGCATTTTGTCTTGGGAAGCTATTAGCCCAAATCTTACCTACGATGATGCTTTGGATGACATAAATTATGCTTTTGTGGGTTTGATCCGCACGAACAATCCTTGATCGAATTCTGGCATTGGGTTTCTCTTAAATGATTCGTCTTTCTTGACAAGTTCCCACGTGAACCTTGTCACCAAATGATGCATCATAGCTAAAATTTCCATTTTTGCAAGTTCAATAGCAGGACACATCCTTGACCCTGCTCCAAACGGCACAAAACTGAAAGGTGGTGGTTGTGGTGCATGCTTCTCAAAACGCTTTGGATCAAACATGGTCGGGTCTTGGAAAATGTCATTGTTCATGTGTGTCATGGATTGAGATATCAACACCTGAAAAAGAACTCATGCAAGATCAGATAAGGGTTTATTCTACTATGATATTTTGTATCTAATCCTTATTAATTGGTTACTCATTGATGTGACATACTTGCCATCCTTTAGGAATTATAAATCCTCCGTACTCAATATCTTGCATAGTTCGTCGGAAGTTCAAATTCACGGGAGGGTTTATCCTCAACATCTCAGATGCAACTCTCCACATGTACTTCATCTTTGTAAGATCTTCCCATGTCAAAGCTTCCCCATGTGCTTTATTCTTGGCAATCTTTTCTTGTTCTACAAATTCAATCATATGAATAAATTACAATCTCTTCTTTGTGTCTATTGGTGTTTAATTAGATCTTCGATCCATACTCAGCCACTTTAAGTGGGGTGCATGGCCCCACTTGGAGATGGGTCCCACCACATTTAGTCCTATAAAGCCCTCAAAAAAATCTTATTTTTACTAAAAAGCCCATCTTTGGCACCCACTTTTACATCAAATACCCCTATTGATTTTTTTTTTTCTGAAAATAACCCGATTTTTTTAAAAAATTTCACAATTTTATACTACGTATTTTTTATCAATAATGGACCCCAGTTAGATGCCAATATATATGATTGTAAGTAGTTAATGCATGCATGGTTCTATGACAAAAAATACATGCATCATAACATACTTTTGCAATGATAACAATAGAAACGAAGATAAGATGCGTTACCATGAACTAAAGTTGAGTAAATAGATTCGTTGTTAGCCAAAAGTCTAACTAAAAACGTGAGGAGGGCTGAGGTTGTATCGTATCCTGCAGCCATCACGAGGATGATGTTGTCAGTGATCTCCTCATCAGATGTCGTTGTTGAGCCATCCTCATTACGCATGCAAAGCAACTCAGTGATGAGATCTTTATGGTGATTAGCTTGTTGTTTTTGTTCTTCAAGTGCTTCCCTTTTCTCACGTATAAGATCTAAAATTATTGGTACTAGTTTCCTTCTTGCTAAAATCCCACGATTGAATTGAGTGAAAGGCAAATTGATTGGAATTGCTAGCACACCTTCGATCATGTGTTTGAAATGTGGTAGGATCTTATCTCTTTTAGGCCCTCTTTCGATCCCAAAGAGAAGTGAGCAAATTACATTGAAGGTTAAGGTCTTTATCAGGGGTTGCACCTACAACGTTGTAGAAACAAACAATGTTAATCTTGTACACTCGTAACATTGAAATGTGAAGTAAAATCAAAACTTAGGGAGTTGTATGCTCCTAAACTCGTTTTCTAAAAGACAATCTTCAATGTCCTCTAATCAAAATTGTCATTCAAATTTTGAATCTTTTGCAATATTTATAATCACCATGAAATCCTAATTAACACAACTAACAATCAATATGTTACTAATATTTCATAAACGTTATCAATTGAAAAATGTAAAAAGTTTCATGGGATTCATAAATCATAATTTAATAAAATCAATATTTTTTAATATGGGCTTTAAGTAAACACTAGAATAAAATCATATTTTGAATTTGGCATTTTGGAAGAAGTAAATATAATGTACCTGAACTTCATGTTTACCATGCCAATGTGTTTGAAGGTGGTGCTGGATTTCTTCGTCTACTTTTGCAACATATTGCTTCAACACTTCAAGCTTCAAAAACGAAGTAAGAGCCGCTCTTACTCGTTTATGATCATTCCCGGTTAACTCGCTTAAATTTTTCGAACCGATGATTCGACTCATTGATGGTGGTTGTGTGTTGGTGAGTATGTTCCCATCAAAAGTGTAGATGAACTTATTTGCAGTTGGACCATTTAAAACGACTGTCGGGTATCCAAACAGACCGACTTTCCAAATAGGCCCGTGTTTGGTTATTTTTTCTTGAAACCAATTTTCGACCTTATCAGCTTTCAAGGCCTTCAAAAGGTCGAGGCTTTGCCCTATCAAGGGTAGTCCCAAATAACCGGGTGGGAGTCGGTCCGGTTTTTTCTTACCTCGAAAAAGAATAAAAATGGAAAATAAAAATAACAATAATGGTGTTATAAAAAGCTCTAATTCCATTGTTACAACACAAGCTCGTTTGAGAGATTTCTTTGTGTTTGTGTTTGTGTTTGTGTGTGTATATGTATATAGATGAACTCATGTTGTTCAAATGTGATTGTCCTTTCCTGTGTTTGGCATCAATGATAAAAGATTCTTAGGAATGAGTTAATTTTCTTTTAATATATAAAGGCATAATTAAGACATTACAATTTTAATTGCATGTTAGAATGACGATCGAAATAGATTGACTTTGTGGGTTTTTTTTTTTTTTTTTTTGGCTTACCAAATAGTCAAATAAAGGAGAGGAGTGTTTAGACTTTAGAGACGGCTAAGGTGTCGGAGTCAACGGATATCGGTTTTGGGCCTCGTCAAAGACCAAAATGGTGTATATGCTTTCTATGGAACGGAGAGATCTCATGGGGTTCCCGGCTGGGAATTTTTTTTTCAAGATTTGCTTGAAGTGGAGAAAGCAATAGTTGGGTGACGATCCAAAGTCTTTTTTCAAGGTGTATTCTCAATCAAGATCAAGGAGAGGAATACATTTTATAATCCAATCGAACAGTAGTGAGGGTGCATCTTTTTGTTGTTCTGGGAAATCTTCATATTCAAATTTAGGTATCAATGGCTCAAATTAGTTTTCTTTTGTTCAATTGTCTTTGTTTGGGTGATTTGAAATGAAAATGGGGTCCCTCTACAAAGAAATATTCTTTGAGGCGGAGTCTTGAAATAATGCTCACAAGGTGTTCCATAAAAGTCTTCATTGAGATTACATTGTTCATAAATCTTAAGGTTCAAGAACATAGGTGTTGATGCGTTTTTTGAAGTGGGTGTGTAATGGAAGTTGTTTGGTGAAAGGCAGCATCAATCTTGATTGGTTTTTATTGCATAAAAAAATGTTTCTCAAGTGGTTATTGAGAAGTTTACCCGGAAGAATAGTTTTAGTCTATGACGAATCAAGATGTAGACATTTTTAAAACAACAAGGTGTATGGCTTCCAATTGTTAGAGAGAGGTATGCAAGTGTCGATGAGGCGAAGTTTAAACAACAAGAAGAAAAGGCACATTCAACGATTTTGTTATCACCTTCGGACGAGGTTCCATGTGAGATTGCCAATGAGGAGAGTGCATTGGTTTTTTTGGCAAATGCTCGAGTCATTGTATATGACCAAATCTTTATCAATAAGATTTTGTTAAAGCTATGGTTGTTTTCATTAAGAACGAAAAAATGGTCAGTCTTGAACGAGCATTTGGTAGCAGAGCATCGGGGAGGAGGTTTTTTCAATCTTTATCAATAAGCTTTTAACAGGGGCGGACCCAAGGGGATCCCGGGGTAGCCCGGGATACCCCTCAAATTTTTTTCGGTAGTGTAATTTTTGTTTACGTATCCCTCAAAAAAAAAAATTCGGTATAGTGTATATATACGCATCCCTCCACTTATAAACACAAACAAACAGTTGGTCTGCTGGTTAAGGCGTTGGCTTATTGAAGCAAGGGTTTCAAGATCAATTCTTGCTTCTTACATATTTTTTGTTTACTTTTGTTTTATTTTCCCAGCTATTCTATCCCACATCGCTAAACACATGTAAACTCAGCCATTTTTTTCTATTATATAAACCTGTTATTCTCATGCTTTATTTGATATCTACTTTGAGTCCCACATCGATTCAAGTATCAAAATATACTTCAACTTCATGTTTATATAACAAGACTTGAGGTTAGCTAAGGATTCGATTAAGATTTGGGTTTAAAACCGAAACCGAACGGGGGAAACCCAAGTACCCCGGGAAAAAAATTGGGTTACCCTAAAAAAATTGGGATACCCCTTTACTTTGATCATGGCTCCGCCATTGGCTTTTAATGTCATTTTCTACATTAAAAGATTATCAAATGAGTTTATGGACAAGCAAATATGGCAAGATTTGATGGAATAAGAACATTTTGAGGCCATGTAAGACTATATGTGGTTTTTGACATTATCCCTTTTATCTTAGTAACATATTAGACGTTAAAGATCATCACTAGCCCAATAAGAACAAATATTATCTAGAAGACTTTAGCTTGTTCTAGAAGGCTCTAGAAGATTCTAGAACATTATAGAAGACTATGGAAGACTCCAGAATATACCGGAAGAGTCTAGAATACTCTAGAACGATATGGAAGACCCTGGAAGGTTATGGATCATTCTAGAAGACACTGGAGCATCCTAGACCTCTCTAAAACATGGTAGAATATTCTAGAAACATATGGAAGCATATAGAGTATGTTAGATAGTTCTAGAGTTATCTAGTATGTAGTAAGTGTATACTAGTATCTAGAACCTTCCTAAGAGGCCTATAAATAGGTGTGGATCTCATTTGCTCCAAACCATCCAAGAAAGCCTCAAAGAAAGCAAAGTGTATAGTAGTCTCACAAAGTGTAAGCTCTTCTTAAGTGTCTTAATAAAAGTCTTGTTGTTTCCCATATAAAGAGTCGTGTTCAACAATCTGGTATCAGAGCAAGGTTTCTTGATAGTGAGAACGAGTGATTCTCGTTGTATCGTGAGTAGTTTGTGACTCTGCAAGTTTGGTGTCGAAACTAGCTTGTTTGGTATTACCGAGGTACTGCCAACACGATGGGTGATCTCCAAGTCGTCGTAAGAATCAAGAAACTCAGCAACAACAACTACAAAACGTGGGAAACATGTATGAAGTCCTACTTACAAGGACAAGATCTATGGGAGGTCGTTGGCGGAAGTGAAACTACGCCGCCAGAGGAAGATGTTAACGGTGCTTTGCGCAAATGGAAAATCAAAGCCGGCAAAACAATGTTTTCCTTGAAGACCACAATCGAAGAAGAGATGTTGGAGCATATTCGGGACGAGAACACACCGAAAGAAGTTTGGGGCACGTTTGTGACGCTTTTCTCAAAGAAGAATGATACGCGACTACAACTTTTGGAGAACGAGCTATTATCAATCTCACAACGTGACATGACGATTGCTCAATATTTTCACAAGGTCAAGCCGATATGTCGGGAGATTACTGAACTAGATCCGCAATCCGTCATTGCAGAAGCTCGAATGAAGAGGATCATCATCCATGGACTGAGGCCGGAATATAGACGCTTTGTTACTGCTGTACAAGGATGGCCCGTTCAACCATCACTTGTAGAGTTTGAGAATTTGTTGGCCAACCAAGAAGCTATGACTAAGAAAATGGGAGGCATCACGCTGAAGAGTGAAGAAGAAGCACTCTACACAAGTAAAAGTCTGAGGAATTTCAAGCCACCTTCTAAAGAAGGATACATAAATGCTTACAAAGGGAAGAGTCAGCCAGGAATCTCACAACCATGGAGATCTCAAAAGACCGACAATAAGGTTCTCGGGGGAGGAGGTTTGAAGGCAACTGCAACAATTGTGGAAAGTGGGGCCACATGTCCAAGGATTGTTGGTCAAAGAAAAAGTCTGTGGAAAGCAATGTCGTAACTTCCAAAAAGGAAATATAGGATGAATGGGATGCTGAGGCATTATGTGCCATAGAAGAAAACGAGTTGGAACTCATGGCAATGATGGGAGAGCGTATCAACTATGAGAATGACTGGATCATTGATTCAAGATGCTCTAATCACATGACTGGTGATCAGAACAAATTACAAGACGTGAAGGAGTACAAAGCGAGTCGCATGGTACTTACAGCCAACAATGCACGACTTCTAATTGCTCAGATTGGCAAAACAACGATCATGCCTGGTAATAAATCTGACATGGTGTCACTACATAATGTCTATCACGTGCCATGTATGAAGAAGAACTTGTTGTCGGTATCGCAACTAACATCATCAGGCAACTACGTCTTGTTTGGCCCACAAGATGTGAAGGTCTATCGAGATCTTAAAATATCAGAAAAGCCAACAATGGAAGGACGGAGAGTGGAGCCCGTGTATGTGCTCTCCGCAGAGTTTGCCTATGTAGACAAGACTCGAAAGAACGAGACAACATGTCTATGGCATGCACGACTGGGACATGTTGGTTATCACAGGTTAAAGGTAATAATGGAGAAATCCATGCTTAAAGGCTTACCTCAACTTGAAGTCAAAACGGATGTCGTTTGTGCTGGATGCCAGTATGGTAAAGCTCATCAATTACCATACAAGGAGTCAAATTTTTGTAAGGTCCTTTTTAGGATGCTTCTCCAAACCTTGAAATCTTTCATTTTGATGTATTTTTCGATTCTGTATTTCGATTCTGGGAACCCTTCTGCAGATAACAGACGGGGAATGCGAGTGGTTGTTCCCATGATGGAATCCAGTTCATGATGAAGTACTTGACTTTGAGAATCCATTTTTTTAAATATTTTTTTTAATTGAAAATGACTTGGAAAAAATTAACTAAAATGCCAAAAAGATAGTTTGAGGTCAAACAACTACGGTCGTAAACACGAGTTTACGGTCAACGTTCACAACTTGGAGTTTACGGTTGGAGGTTCCCGGTTGAGTTTACGGTTGAAGGTTCACGGTTGAGTTTACGGTTGAAGAGGGATTTACGGTTGAATTGAGTTTACGGTCTAGGAGGGATTTACGGTTGGATTGAGTTTACGGTCTAAGAGGGATTTACGGTTGGATTGAGTTTACGATCTAAGAGGGATTTACGGTCAATGAAGATTGACTGTTTACGGTTGTAAACTGTTGACCGTAAACACCTATAATTTGATGAAAACTTGAATTGCAAGCAAATCTAATCCCCTTATGTCACGAAACCACCAAATGCAGTCTTGAAAAACGATGAAACTGAACTCCTTTGACCGAAAACGTGATTGAAAGATGTTTTGACACTAGACTTGCTCTGATACCAATTGTAAGGTCCTAGAAACAGGATCTTAACTAGTGATCAAGCAATCTAACAGTCAAACAAGATGAGAATTGAGTAGAAGAAGAATGAATCAAAGCTTGCACACGTTTGTATTAAGAAAACGTCAGGTACAACTCTGACTGGCCGTAATCACTATGAATTAACAACCACTAACAGACATAGACTGGTCCTATATATAGGAAAGAAGACATGACCGTAAACTAGACAAGG